TGACCTAGGGTGAGTTTTAAATAGGGACAATTTTTAACGATTTTAAAGAGCCACAGCTACCAATATTTGGGTTTTAATTGGTTTTTAGTAGGGGAAATTTTTTGTATGATGTTTTAATACGCTGTGAGCCGCCCTGAGTCCCATGGGGAGAAGGGCGGCATATAAATCCTGTTAAATAAATAAATAAATAAATAAAATATATTCATGTCAAAGATGTATTTTCAACTGTAGCTTCAGTTTTTTAAAAAAAGGCTTTAGGACTGTATTTAAATTAAAATTCATGCCAAGTGCTTATTACTGGTATTATAAGTTTACAAATTTAAAAAAAAATATCAACAAACTTACTTTGAAGAGTACTTGGATCAATAATGTGAATGGCACTGGTTACTCGGATACAAATGCAAATCTGGCTCATATTACCAAGGCTTTGAGCCAGTTTTGGTGACAAACACACAACATTGTCCTGCAGATGAAGAAAAAAAACCCCAAAATGGTATTTATTTCAATTTTATATCTTAAACTGTTTTAATAAAATATTACAGTCCTGAAAGACATCTGGACATCAGAAAATTAAAGAATTAATGAGGTAAGGTAAAGAATTAATTAATAACAGCTTATTAATGCTAAATGGAGATTTAAATAGTATTAAAATAGATTTGTTTAGATTAACTTATTAATTACTGCCTGCTAAGTTGATCAAATAAGTACATACACTATATATAGAATTTAAAAATTTTATATAGTTGTTGCTACTGGTCAAGACTATACAGTTGGAAGTACATTTAATTGAATTTAACTGCGCTTACTTATGAGATTTCATACCAAACACTGTACTGACATTAAGATGTAAGCCAGGAATGAAAATAATTATCTGATGTTGTTACAGCACAGCTCCCATCATCTGACTCCAAGTTAATGTTGTCTGATTGAATTTAAAAGGCAATCTCGAAAAAGCCACAGATTATCCACCTCTGAGAAATGCAAGTAATTTATTAATGCTTTTACAGGGACCCCATATTCAGAATCTATTGGACAGCTCGGTTCTTTTTCTCTCAGAGTGCATCCAATATTTGCTGCTCAACATTGCTCAAAGCCACCCAAAAATCCCTTGATGGCATATAAATGTAATAAATAAATAAATAAATGTGCAAGAAAAAATACAATTTCTAAAGATCATTCCATTCCAGGCAAAAAGGATGTGCAGTTTCTTAGTGTCTAATCCACAAAGACAGAAAATACCTTGCATACTGGAACAATCTCAACAGAGAAAGTGCTTTTGTAATTATACGTATTGCTGTGAATGTCATGAGAAATCAAACGCTGTGATGATTTAATTCTGTAATTGAAAAATGACAAACTCAAATCAGAACAAATAAGGCTATGGTATAATTCTTTTTTAAAAAAACAAACAAACATGGTTTGCTAAACATGTCACAGTGGCCTGGCTTATAAACAAAGCCTAGCCATAATGAGCAGGTCCTCATAAGCAAACAACAAATCGTATTTTGGATTAGAGTTATGGATGAATTAGATTTCACATTGAGGACTTCCGGTGGCAGGCGATTTCGTCGGTCGCAGCTGTTTGCTGCCTCCCGCCTGTTTTGCGTAAAAGCCGGTTTGACAGCTAGCATCTGCTGTCAAACGGCTTGATACCTTTCCCCTGGGCATAAGGGGATAGGTGAGCTGCCCGGGGTAGGAGTTGAGTTCCCGAGTCGTCCTATATGGACGATGTAGGCGA